TACCAGCTTTTAATCACGGAGTCAATTGATAATCATATACTCTGACGGCCTTTGGCAATGACGCTTGTACCACGCATTGTCACTGCAATATTGCTTCTCTTTCTTACTCCTCTTCTTTTCTGTCTCTTTCCGTTCTATTATTTTCCTTTCCCCCCCCCCCAAGTGTAGGGTAGCCGACGGAGCCAAGCTTGGTTAACCTCCCTGCCTTTCCTCTCTATTTATCTCTCTGTCTCTCTCGTTGCATTATGAAGCTTCTATACAGGACGCCTGTGTTTGTGAAGCATAAAAGCTACTTTCACTGCATTTACAAGCAGACGAAGTTCTTTTCACTGTTTTCATAAGCAGAGGCGTGGCCGTGTGGTGGAACATTCGCTTGCCCCACAACCGACCCGGGTTCTATCCTCAGTTGAACTAAAACAACCCTGGTTTGGTCCCCACTCTGCTCGAGGATTTTTTATAATTTTTTTTATTTGCATCATTCTCAATTTTTTTGGTTACGCAAACGGTGATAATTTTTCGCTCACAACCAACGACGCCGACACCAACGGTGGCATTTCCGCGAAACGAGCTCTTTAACGCTATCGCGTTGATAAACCCGGGTATGCTTAGGAAAGCCTAGTTATAAAGTATATCGCAGCCTAGTTGTGTTTAGGCAAGCCAATTTAACGCTTGTCGATATCAATCTGTACTGATAGATACCCATCACGTGTAATTAGGCAAGATTAGTGGAGATTGTGTCGCGTCTCGCTAATCCGGTCTAACATGAAATGGCATAGCCATGAGGTAGATTAGACGCCACTAGGCTGTGTTCTTTCAGATTAGGCATGACTAAATAAATTCCTGGTTAAAATAATCTTCAACCAGTCAATGTTGAGTAAATTGAGAATGATTAGCCGTTTGGGTGACTGCATATTGTCACATTAGGCCGATGTGAATGAGTTCAATTAAGCTGGACTAAGGTAAGCAGAATCTTGAACCATCTAATTTTCAATAAGTTGAGATTGCCAGTTGGATGATAGGGTATGACCATAATAAGGCCATGTGGATTAAACCGGATTGGGCTAATCTACATTAAGCTAATCACGAGCAAGTCAATTAGGAGTACGATTGTCTGGACTGTTTGATGCTGAAGCATGGTCCTGTTAGATTCATCCAGATTAGGTCAGATTAAGATAATTCAGATTAAGGTATTTTTTAACAAGTATCTTATCCTAAAGTTGAAATTGTACAGTCATTTCTAAGTGTGGCCACAATGGGAGAATATGAATTAAGCCGGCTACGCTATTTGAAATTATGCTAGTCCCGAGCGAGTGGACTTGGAGTGAATTTTTTAGATTGTCTAGCCAGTTGTATGTCCAATCGCGTCATATATGTCACTGCGTGCATGACATTCATGACATATTTTTTGCTGTTGTGACCAGCCATATTTTTCAGCTTATGCTGTTATCATGCCTTGAGAATTTTGGAATGCATTAATGTAATATGAAACGGCTGTTAGAACATTTAGGCTGGGTCACGTGTGTCATGGCGCACATGACATGCATGACATGGTTTCCGTGTCATGACCAGTCATATATTCTAGCCATACGTTCCTATTACGTCGTCAGTTTTGGTACATATCAAGTTAATAGCGCGGTCGTAAGAGCTCTATGACCAGGTCATCTATGTCATGGTCTACATGACACGCATGACAAGGTCATAAGCAGTCATGTATATTTTCCTCGTGATTTTACCATACCACGTCGATTTTGGTATAGATGTACCAAACGCCACATGTATCTCCTTGATCATATCACCTACGACATGGCGTGCATTTTGGCATGTTATGATATATATGTAATGAGCAGTCATTTCTGTTTTTCACATGGTGTTGTCACGTCATGTCAATTTTCGTACTCGTCAAGTTAATCGGCTGCGACAGCACGAGAACCTATGTAGCCAGTGAGATAAACCAGTAGCTACACTCCAAAAACCTTTATTTCGCCATCAAATGCCTCGTGTGCAATAATTAGTGCATAATCTATTTGTTACCAACATTATATGTGCAAGCCCTACCACAAGAAGCCATAAACGGAGGCAAATTGCCGCGAACTTCACTGAAAGCGATCCCTCTGCTAGGCAAGGCAATGCCATTGAACGCGAACGTTTGAACTAATATGGTGTCCACAAAGCAGTCCCTCCACCTTGTTCCGGAGGAGCACATCGAGTCACCTTATAGCTGGGTGGCTCCCCATTGAAGCTTACATGTGCGTGGTTGATTGCAGTGCAGCGAGAATGTCTTCGAGTTCTCTGAAATAACTGATTGGTATGTGGGGTTTAACGTCCCAAAACCACCATATAAATAACCCTGAAATAACTTTTGACAGAAATATACCTGCGTTCCTTTCATCAATGGATGTTCACGTGCTGAAAAAAAAATCCATTGCATTGGTGGCAAGATCGCCTTTTCAGTGTCCATTGATTTTGTTGGGCTGTTCAAAGATTTCTTTGTTCGCGGACCGCAAAATGAAACTAATTCCTAATTACTCTTTTTAAGCAAATCTACACGTTAATAACAAAAGAACTGCGGTGAAACGCATTAGTATGACAGTGATGTCTTGAAGAGTCTTTCAAAAAAAGGGAACAAGGCTTCCCAGTCCTTTTAACGACTTTGAATTTATTTATATTCACCATTAAACTGTATTTTCCCGCTGTTTTTATGGTGTCCGGATTGATCTCTCACTTAACTACGCACTAGAAACAAAATGTTGCTATCGCGTTCAACTTCTAAAGTGGGTCTCTTAATTTTTGATTATGTAAGTGCTCTTCGTTTTTGGACGACATTGTTTTGCCATAATTACAGTATGCTTAACCCTAAATTCCCAAATGCAATGCCCTGTTAAGTGTCCTTGAAGGTCAATAAATGGCGATCACAACGAAGACATTGACGATGGTTGTAAACCTGGATTCCCAGAAGAAATGTCTTTGCGCAGAATTTTGAATCAATACGAAATAGTTTCAAACTGCTTGCTTTCAAAAGTGTTATTTTGTGTGGGAATGCAGTAATTTAGTTCACACTCTAGAAATTGTTTAGATTGGGTTTATAATAATCAGCTTCGACACAATGTCGGTTTAGAGCCACATAGCTTAAAGCCTTGAGATTCCTTATTAAGACAACGCCGCTACTAGATTACATAGTTACATAAGGAAGTGACTTTTCGCGTGTATGCGTAACAGTGAACGCAGCAATAACTTGTTGGGAGGCAATATCAGACTGCAAAAAAAACTGTAAAATATGTGTCTTTATTTTTTGTGATATATTTGAATGATTTTATTTTCGTGAAGAGTGATTGTAATAATTTTTATGCTCCCCCCGACTCTTACAATCAAACCATACTCAAAGGCAGTAGTGCACTTTAAAAAAATAACTGAATAGGCGCGAGCACGGGGAAACAAATTTGAAAGCATTAACAAGCTCGCTATACGTTTTACAAGCAAAATTACATAATATTTAGCGGTCAATCGTATTTTAAAAATCGCAAATGGTCCCTGGGCGAGTAGCGTCCCCGTCCTGCAAGTTCCATTGCGCCTCAAAAGACGCCAGGGCCATATCCAGAACCGAGCCTACATTGGCCCATTCCTTTATTTATGAGATCCGTTAGGTTAATTTCGATGCACCCAAGCATGAGGTTAAGCGTGTACGCCCACACACTCGTATAAATGCAGGCTGTTTGCCCCTTTTAGCGCTTGTTCCCCGCGAATGTCTTTATCCGCGTGCGTGGTGACATGCTATACCCTGAAGCAATGAGTACTGCAGCCCGCACGCCGCACCAGAGCGTGAACAAAGTTTTCGGTGTACGCTCTTGTAGCGGCCACGGTCTCTACGCAGTGTGTATGACCGACGAAGCGCGTCGCATCCCCAGCTGTGGTTTGTACCTCTGCCAGCGTGCATTGCTTTTCCTTCATTATCTAATGTTGCGAGTGAGCACTTAGCACGGGATCTAATCACCTTCAGAACGCCGGAACTTTTCGGATACGCGAAACTTGCTAAACGGAGCGTGACGAGAAGGCGACAGCGTATACGTGCTAGCTATACGTTATCCTAAAGCAATTACTTAAAACAGCATTCGACATTGCCATTATTACAAAGACGGTGGGGAATATTCCCCTCATGTTCCATATATTTTATAACTTTCAGTAAACAATATTCCATATAATATTTTCTTTTTCACGAACCTGCCACTTTCATACTCGTATAATTTTAATTTGTGGTCTTTCGTGCCAATAAACTTGTATAAAAAATATGAGACAGGGTTTAGCGCATAAGGCAAAACAAGAAGTGGCAAGCACAGCACCGTGGTTCATTTATGATGTGTATGATGTATTTGATGATGTATTTGATGATGTATGATTATGATGTATTTTATTTTGTGATATGTGTAACGGGCTCTTTTATACTTTTCATGCAATCCTAACTACTCACGCAATAAACTTTTCTTTTTCTGTAAAATTACACAGAACTATAGCGTTCCGTGGAGAACAGATAAAGCTTAATGCATTGTTTTTTATTGAATATGTATCAGGTTAGCGCTGCCACCAGACTACGATTAATTCCCAAATCGACCCTAGTTTATTCCTAATATTTACGCTCGACGACAATCCCTCGTAAGCTATGCAAAAGACAAACGGCCCCAGAGGAAAAGGCAGTACAGTAAGTAAAGAAGAAAACAAGATAGAAGGTAGAGAGGTTAACCAGGCACAACACACGCTGCGAAATCGTCCTCTTAAATGTGCTGGAGGCATAAACTAGTCATCTTTTTTCGTGATTCCATACAACTGAAAACAGAGGGACCACGCAAGAGGAGAAGACTTGCACTGCTGGCTACTTAGTAGCGCACATCTTGTCCTCTTTCTGTGTTTTTATGCTTTAAGCGCCATGACCTCACTGAAGGTAACAAACTAAGTGACCCAAAAGCGTGTACTCTTAGTCTCATTTTCGTACTTTTGCCTCTTGAATGCAGTGCGGGCTGCCCGGGAGGAACGACGTGGTCCGGTCTTCACGCGTGCACCTCCCGAGCGGGTGGAGTTCCTCAACTCGTCCCAAGCAGTGGTGCCGTGCGAAGCCCAGGGTGTGCCTCGTCCCGAAGTGTGGTGGTGGCGCGTGGGCTCCGATGGTCCCGCGCCAGACATTCCCGGTCTACGTCACGTGCGAACGCACGACGGAGCACTTGTGTTCTCGCCGTTTCGCGCCGAGGATTTCCGACAGGATATTCACGCCGCCGTGTACCGCTGCGGCGCCCGAAACTCCGTCGGCTCCGTCGTCAGCGGCGACGTCCACGTAAGGGCCGGTAAGTGTACCCGCTCGCTGAAAATTTCTCACGGAGGTCGGCCAAGACCATGTGATTGATGAGCACTCCATGGTTGATACGGGAAAGACATATTCGTGTCCGATGTGCTTGTGTGTTGTGGGCTGTGCATGGAACAAGTGAGTGTGAGTGAGTGAACTTCATTTCATCCACAAAAATGTGAGTGAGCTTAACTTCACTTGGCATATCCCCATAGTGTAAAAAAAAAAAATTACTGTAGAAGCTTGCACTATATAGCGGAAGCGTGAAACAGCAAAACTGGAGAATTTCGAAGACTAACCTGGTTTCGGTTTGTTCTCGGTTGTTCCTAGGCATTAGTTAAGCGATGCAGGCTTTATCTAGTTTGTTTATAGGTCATTGCTAGGCTTTGAATACATGATGCAAGGTTGTCTCTGCTTTGATTCTTAGCGCAGAGAGGTCGAAGTTAAACGAAAGACAGTCACAAACACGACACGGTTGTCCGAACTCCACAAACAGAAACACGCCCTGAAACCAAGCGTTTGCGCTTCTCTAGGATTTTCAGGCACGTCATGATTGTCGCAAGCCTCCCATTTCTTCGAGGCTTTCTCACAACCACAATCACATTTTTTGTTCTCTAGTATTGTCTCGTTGAATGTACACGTGGTCTTTGGCTCATCACCGTCACTTCTGAGCTGTTTGTTATACTATGTGATTTCTCCATATTTAGTGAACCAGCGTTGACATTCCCGGTCTTCGGTATTCACCAGATTTCTGTAGCCATACCCTTTAAAATGATAGTTTTCTGTGATCAACTCACAAGGAATTATCTGCAAAACAGCATCGCTGTCCAAGCGCTATTGCTTTAAAAAATATAGTAGTATAGTGGTGAAAAAATTTGATGTGCTTGAAGAGGGACAGTAGGTGTGCTGTGACCAGTGCGAAAAAGAATGAATAAGGACTAAGTAGGGGCTATAGTTTCAGACTTAAATGATAGTGACCGCCACCCAGGTACACCAAACTAGGGCTTGTTGGACGTGTAAGTCGTGCCATTCGAGCAGGGTGCCCTTACACTCTCCCCCCTGAGTGATTGATTGATATGTGGGGTTTAACATCCCAAAACCACCATATAATTATGAGAGACACCGTAGTAGAGGGCTCCGGAAATTTCGACCACCTGGGGTTCTTTAACGTGCACCCAAATCTGAGCACACGGGCCTACAACAATTCCACCTCCATCGGAAATGCAGCCACCACAGCCGGGATTTGAACCCGCGACCTGCGGGTCAGCAGCCGAGTACCTTAGCCACTAGACCACCGCGGCGAGCCCTCCCCCCTGAGTGGGCATAGCGAAGGAGGGCATGGCCGGGTTGGAGGGGTAGGCCCACGTCATATGATATGTGTCAGAAAACACCGCATCATTATGCAGACATGGAGCTTTTGGCCCCAGCCATGTATTGGTGTGAAGGCCTTGTAAAAGCGGCAATTCTGCTCTTTTAAGGAGTTGTGTGTTTCTAACTTTGGTTAATCCTGAGTGGTCACGTAAACAACTTCCTTTTACGGGGCACGTTAAATCTTTTTTGTGTCCCATTACTCAACGACAAAGGTGTAACGATACCTAAAAAGAGTTCACTCGCCTCTTTAAAGAGAGTCACAAATTAAGCAAGTCAGAACTCACAAAAAAGTCATAGGGCTCGTTTTGATTTTGTTAGAGTGACGTGATGTGTTTTAATTACCAAAATACAAGTTAATTTGTATGTACCAAAAGCACGTATTAGGATTGCATGATGGGTTGCTAGACCAACACGTCATCATACTTTGTCTTGGCCGACCCTCCTTCTTATGTAACATCAAGACCTCTGGAGTGGACACGTCAGCTTCTAAAAATTTCAATGTGTAGCTTTCGCTGCGATTACTACGTCACGCCGTCACTATTATTGCCTCTTAGGTTTAGACATAAAATACTAGACAGTCTTAATTACATACACAGGTCAGCATTTCGGGATGCCGAATAAAGTTTGCTTAATAAATATAGTACCGAGTATACCTAGTATACATAGTATACTAGGTATACTCGGTACTATATTTATTAAGCAAACTTTATATTTATTAAGTGACGAAGCAGGGAAAGCGAGAGCAGACGACGGAGTGGCCGATCGCTGGAAGGCGAGAAAAACGAAGGAGCTCGGGCTGCAGAGAAGATTAAGAAGGGCGCGCGCAGGCGAGACAGTTTTTTTTTTTTTTTGGAACGCCGGCAGAACGGGCGGCAGGTTGTTGGAGAACCCGCATCTACGCGCGAGGTTCGCATACACAGGGCGCCTGTCTTCGGGACAGCGAGCGCCTCACGGTCCTCGCCTGGCAAGACCTGGGACGCGGCCTGCTGCTCTCGGAGAACCCGCACCTACGCGCGAGGTTCCAGATTGTCCACCGCCGTCGAGACGAGCGTCGCAAGGTCCTGGCCTGGCGCGGACGAGCCCTGTCTGGCTACCGGCTACCGAGCGACGGTTCGTTCACTCGGCCCTTAACCCCTGTTGCTGCTACGTCGTTTCCACACCGGACATCTACCCGACGACGATTACGTCATCACAGGGACTCAACCAGCCCACAGCCTCCTGGTCCCCAAGCACCGCCACGTGAGACAATTGACTAGTAGTGTACGCTGCCGCTTTATGTATTTCGTGTGTGTATGCTGTCAAATACAATTGTAGTGTGGTTTGTTAACGTCAGATACCGTCTCCTCCATCCGCAACGCGTCACACGCTCTGCGGCGCGACGAACCTCACCAACAAACATCACATCTGGCGTCCGCGCGACAGGACCGCTCTTATCCTATAAAAGAGCAGCGCGTCGCTTATGCGGGTCTGACGGTTGACGATGGAGACGGACAAGCTCACAGCAATTGGAAAGGAACTGGGGTTGAGCGGTCCAGGGCTAAAGCAGTGGATCGATGAGGAGCGCGTACGTGAACGAGAAGCGCGGGAAGTACGTTTAGCCGAACGCAATGCGGCAAAAGAAGCTGATGCCGAGGCACTGGCGAGGCTACAAGCAGAAAAGGAGGTTCTCGAACTAAGGTTGAAGCTCCGAGAGTTAGATGCGACAACGGGTAGCGTGACTACAGGTCAATCAGTAGAGGGTCCGCACATGGGTTCTCCTCAAAGCTACGAAAGTCCGCACAAACTCATACCGCCCTTCAACGAAGTTCGCGACGAGCTGGACGCGTACATCCAGCGCTTTGAACGCGTCGCCAGGAGCCAGGATTGGCCGCAAGACAAGTGGGCCCTTTCACTGAGCCTTTGTTTGACAGGTGAAGCGCTAAGTGTTGTTGGCAGAATGGCACCTGACCATGCCATGGATTACGCAACGTTAAAGAAAACGTTGTTGCAGCGCTTCCGGTTTACAGAGGAGGGCTACCGCACTAAGTTTCGGTCGGCGAAGCCTGAGGACTGCGAAACGGGTCGACAGTTCGCTGGGCGATTACTAGGTTATTTCGACCATTGGCAAGAGATGGCCAAGACCGAACGGACGTACGAAGCTCTACGAGACGTTATTGTTTCAGAGCAATTCATCACGCAGTGCCACGAGAAGCTGGCAATCTTCCTGCGGGAAAGGGATTGCCGAGGAATTGAAAAGCTAGTAGAAGCTACTGATCATTATATGGAGGCGCAGGGTTTCGTCAACCTTGGTAAAGGTAAGGACGACAAGGACCATAAAAAGCCACCAGATCGAGCGCAGGCCGCACTACGGAAAGAGGAAAAGGACAAACCACATTGTTTGCTTTGTGGAAAGCGCGGTCATAAGGCTTCAGATTGCTGGGCAAATACTAAAGGGCCAAGGACAAAACCAGCCTTCTGCGGAAAATGTAGACGTAGTGGGCATAGCAAAGAGGACTGCCCTAACAAGGGAAGCGGTAAAGCCTCGTGCCTGAAAGAGCAAGCAGAAGGTCCGAAAGCATCAAACCAGGAGACACAGGCTTCCCGGCAAGGTACTGATTGCTCGAAACGTACGAGAATCAAGTGGGAGGACAAGTCTATGCCTACGGCCGAAGGCGTCCTTGAAAACCAGCCCGTTACGGTCTTACGGGATACAGGATGCGACTCGGTTATTGTGAGAAGGTCCCTTGTACCAGTCAGCAATCTGACGGGGAAAGTTTCCTCTGTGTGTCTTCTTGATCGAAGGGTACTGAAACTGCCGGAGGCAGACGTGCGAATTATTTCACCCTTTTTCTCAGGCAAGACTCGCGCGATCTGCATGGATGACCCACTGTATGACGTCGTTCTGGGAAACGTCCAAGGGGTCCGTGACGCCTCCGATCCTGATCAAGATTGGAAAAGACACCTACGTCCAGCTAGTCCGATGAAAATATCATCTAGGGTGGGAGCGGACGACGGATCGCTGACTGGATCTTATACTACAGATGCATTCACTTCGGTTGCGAGGCAATCAAAGGAAAACGAAGTCGCCGCGACAGTCGGACGGAGTTCTCGTCGCCTGCCGGTACCAACAATAAGTCCCCTAGATATGAGTGCACGTGACTTGCAGAAAAGTCAGAGGGATGACGCTAGCTTACAGAAATGCTTTGAGGCCGTCGATAAACCCATCCAGACCAGGTTTGCCGAGATTCTTTTCTTCACAAAAGAAGAAATTCTATACAGGAGGTACAAGCTCAGATCGAAGAGAGAAACTGAACAACTTGTTGTACCTACAGCCCTCCGCCATTGTGTAATGCAAATGGCTCATGAAGGAATTCTTGCGGGCCATCAGGGTATAAAACGCACAACAGACCGTATCCTCGAGGAGTTCTATTGGCCAGGGGTACTTTCTGACATCACACGATTTGTGAAATCGTGCGACACGTGCCAGAGAACTTTCCCAAAACACTTAGTTGGGCGAGTACCGTTGGGTAAAACCCCCGTCATTGATACACCGTTTAAGAGAGTGGCCATTGACATTGTGGGACCATTATCTCCCAAGTCAGAAAAAGGGAATAGATACGTTTTGACAATGGTGGACATGGCAACGCGGTA